TCGTATTTTTTGTGAAAGAAAAATATAAGAAAAGTAAAAAGATTATTAATGATACAGGGCCCAAGACCAAAATCACGAGCACTCATTCAATCAATCGCCCCCCCCCCCAAATGAGTAATTTTTAAGATTCAATTAGGACGAGTCTGTTTACGAAAATGTTGTGAACAATTGCATATTGTTATATATAAGTTTTTACTATGTGCAATTTTATGGAAGACAATAATAAATTAGAATTTTAAGGATATATTATTGAACGAAGATTTGTCGTATACGCGTGCTTAATAATGGGGATTATGTTAATTAATATCTTATATACAATAGGGTGTTCTGTAAAATCAATGGTTCAAGCGAGAAAGTGAATGATTCTACATTAAAGAAAAATTGTCTTTTACATTTTTGACTTATTAGTATTTCGTGTAAAATCCATCACGTGTTCGCTCGTACAATTAATTACAGAACACCCCTTGGTATATACAAATATATATATATGCAAAAAAAAAAGAAAGATGTCCTTTTTCAAGAGTTATATAATTTGAAGAAAGAAGAAGATGAAGAAGAAAAAATGAAAAATAAGAAGAAAAAAAAAATTGTCCAAAAGAAGAAAGAAAAATAAAACTTATTCATCGAATAATAATCGTGAACATTATAATAATGATATCTGTTATTATTATAATATGTTATATGTAAAATATCTGTAAACTAATATTGCGTTAGAAAACAAATTGTTTTTTACTTTATGCCTGTTATGTGTAAATAAGAAAGAAGAAAGAAAAAAGAAAGAAAACAAATGTTGAGAAAATTCTGACGCACATTGTTTCCAAAATATTTTATGCATGCAATAGAAAATGACGATATTACTATGACGGATGATGACGGACAACGATAATGATAATAATGATCATAATTTTCCAAAAAAAAAAAGAACCTCAACACAATAGATTGTATTTTTATATACAATTGTTACAAATAAAAAGAAACAAAGGGTCATATATATATATAATATATATACCACCAAAATCCTAGTCAATGTATGAAGGAAATGTTACCAATATATTATTACTATTAATTATTATTTATTAATTAATTAATTATTACTACGTGTTACGTTTCAATCTGTCGTTCTCATTCAACGAACAGAAAAAATTTATTGGAATAAAATTATTTTACGTAATCTTATCGATAATACATGGGTTCTTCATTTTTCTTTTCTTTTCTTTTTTGTTTTGTTTTTGTTTTTTTTTTTTTGTATCCTTCACGCATAATATAAAAAATGTTTAGACATATGAACACGATAATATTACATGACGTAATTTATTTGTTTCTTTTTTTCTTTACGCGTTATTTGTATGAAATAACAAATTTTTTCTCTCTCTCTCTCTCTCTCTCTCTCTCCTATTGCATTTTTTATGTAAAATAGTTGAACTTTTGGTATTTTATTTACCATTTACCACCTTTCTTCTTTTTCTTTTGCTGAACCTTACGTTGTTGTTGACGTGGTCCAGAAACTTCCACGGCAGTATTGTGACGAGGATTCGGTGAAGGTTTCGCATTGGTCGGCATTTTTGTAATATCACTGAAAGTTTTCAAACAAATATAATTAAATATTAAATACATTAATACTTGAATTATTTTATCTTGTATAAATGTTGTTTACGTACTATAGATCACTTGCACCAGTTGCTGCACCTTGTGTACCCTTCATCGTAACATCTCGATTTCTTCTATCTCGTTTTTTTCTAAAACCACTACGCTCATGCCTTGGTAACCATCTTTCAGGATCGGGAGGAACATTAGGATCATAATTCTTAGGTAATTTTCCTTTACGTTTACGAATCTTACGTTTCTTCAATGTCTGATCTACTACTGGTTTACTAAAAATAAATGCAAAATAATAAATGCATATATAAATAAATAAATGAAAATTTCATAGAAATAAATATGTAATGAAATATTACAAACCCTGGCGAAGGTTCTATTTTCTTTCGTACAACTTTTGTACCAATAATCCAATTGCTACTTTCTAAAGCATCGACATCTATAGTCTCAGCAAGATCGTGCAAAGGTGGTAACCTTTTGTACAAAAGATTAGCTTTAGTTGGACAAAATTGTACATAAGCTACTACTAATTGTGCCAAAGTTTTCGTATCTGATGGAGAGGCATCTACTAATTCTTGTAATATGTCAGCAGCAACTTGAATTTCTCCACCACGTAGGTAAAAGTCGGCAGCTTGTCGCCATAAATCACCTAAATTCGTTGTAGTATCCTAAAATGGAAATAATTTATTTATCTCATACATTTTAAACGTTGAAATTAGTAGTCTTTTATATTGTAAACTTATACCTTATGTTTTTTGTAATAATTTACTGCATTTTTCAATACAGCCGATGCTCTATCCCTATTATTGTCTGCCATATGAAGTGTAACAAGTGCACTAACTATACCAGGCAACGATTTGTCAGATTCCGACAAATTTTCGAGTATATTAATCGCCTCATTTCTTTCGCAATGACTTAAAAGAAGTTGTACAGCCACTAATTTCATTTGCAATTCCTTTTCAGCAGTCGCGTATTCCAATAACAATTTAGCTGCTTCTAGAGCTTTACCATCCTTGCTAAATTGAATAGCTTTGACAAGCATTGCATCTGCTGCTAATGCTGGATAATCCTTAGCAAGTTTATTACACAATTGTTGACATTGTTCTCCCTATAAAAGAAAATTTAATTTATAATATACAAAACCATAATCGATGTGTAATATTTTAAATACTCTTACCTGATCCGTATACAAAGCTAATAAACATTGATTGTATGCAATAGTTCTTCTTTGTTTCGAAGTCAACTTATGTTCCAAACTTTCATGTGTTGCACTCTTCATTCTCTTCTTACTATCAAAAACATTTTGATCTTTATTCAAACAAACAAGATTATTACTCGCCACTGCGACAAGTGCTATGTCATCGGGCTTAGATTTCAAAGCAGCCGTGTATAAAGCTTGTGCTTCTTTCTCACGTCCTTGAAGTTGCAAACAGCAACCGAGTTGTACTCTGATAATACCAAGTTCGTTTTCTATTTCTTCTTCCCCAGTTCCATCCTCTTCTAAACCTTCTTTACACATTTTCTCAGCAGTTTTCAATTTTTTCTCAGCTTCCACTAACATACTTTTATCATTCGTACTTCCTAAAGCAATCAATTGACAAGCCGCGTTGTATGTCAACTCATAAGTATCCTTTTGTGATGATAGAAGTTCTGTAGACTAAAAAATTATATTAAATAAGATTAGATGATTTGATTAATAGAAATTTTATAAGTAATATTCATAATCCTCACTGAATCTTCATTTGTAAGATTAACAAGAACTGCAGCCAAATTAGTTTCTCTCTCTTCTTCGTAATCATCATCAGAATTTTTAATAATGTCTCTGTAAATGGCGAAACATTCCTTATATTTTTCCAATCGATACAATATTTGTGCTTTCAACTCTTTTACTTTTAACGAAGGATTTTGTATGCCTTCGACAACCTTTAATGCCTCAGCTACCTGATTTAAACGATACAGACAATAAGCTTTCTCAAAGTCAAGATTTCTGAAAAAAGAAACAAACTCAATTAAACTTGTAATAGGAATAAGAATATTGTATTGTAAGTAGAATTTAAATGACATCTTCATACATTGCCAAATTTTGATTTTTTGTTATTAACTGCAATCCTTCATTAAACTTTGATAACTGGATATAACAGATGACTCTACAGTGGAACGCAGCTTTCTCATCTTGAGAAATACCTAAAACTAAAATAAAAGGAATAAATAAATTGATTTAAATAAAAAAAATAGAAAATTGTGTGTATAGGTTAGAAATTTTTTTTTTACGTTTTTTTTTTTAACTTGGATAATAAACAATTGAATAAAGGATTTCTTTGACGTTATTTAATAATTAATTAATAGTAACACGTGTAACATATGTGTGTTTTATACAAAAAAAAAAAAAAAAATATAAGTTAAAGGTTATATAGTAACCAAATGTTGTGGTGGCATTTAAACATTAGATTAGTATAATTAAAGAAACATATTATAGTTTGAATAATACGTACTTCTATTAGCTGTTTTTAATGCTCTTTCATAATCCCCATTTTGTCCTAATTTCTTTAATTCCGCGTACAACGCTGAAATATTACTTTCTTTCGAACTCATACTGTCCACCTGACAAATGCGACAACGTGGAACTTACAATGGATTGGATTGGATAGTATAAGATATTCAAATATACTTTCCATACGATTTTCAATCATTCTCAATACTTCAATAATAATTTAAATAATTTATATTTAAACAAAAACAATTATACATATGTTTGCATAGGTTGGTCTACAATATTAATAAATAAGCATATATATATATATATATATATATATATATACCTATTCACTTAAAATAAATTGATTTCATATGTCATACTGCAAGAGACATGTTGCTATTGAATTTTATTATATAAGGTGTTTCAATTTTGTTCAGCATATTTTTATTACCATATTCAACGAGTAAAAATAAATAAAAAAAAATGTTATACAAACTTGAGCTCATAAATATTTTATTAAAAAATTATAACAAAAATAATTGGTACACCCTGTATGTTCACATATGCATGTTTGCACTTTCAAAGGGGATTTCTTTTTACATGTAAATATTATTTTTTTTTAAATTTAGATATATGAGTTCATTGTTTGATTATAAAGAAGCAGATTTGATTTCATAAGAAAGGAGTTTTTAAAAATAGGAATAAACTTATGTTTTATGATAAAATATTGTGCTTTATTTGAAAAACAATTATAAGGTATTTATTAGTATTGTAATTATCAATTTACAATTAATTATTTGCATATATATATATATCGAAAGTATGAATAAAATATATTGATTATTTTAATTACAATATTTAATAATAATATTTAATTTAATATGATGAATTTCTTATTTTCTAAGAAACACTTCATCAGATTGCCTCCTTTCTCGCAGACATTAGCGCCACCTGAAACATATTGATAACGTTATTTCATTGGTTCGTATCAATGACCGCAAAAGAAAGAGATTTATGAATGTAAACAAAATATCTTTCATTGATTACAGTTTAATAAAGTCAACAGCGTTAATTATTAATGATAATTTTAATAAGTAAATTATAAATATAATACTAACCAAGATTTTTACATTTCTGGAAAACTTCATCAGCTTTCTCTTTGGGAATACTGCTTGGTAATTTTGCATATAAAACTTCTTCGTTAAGGTTTCCTTCTGGACTTAGCTATTAAAAGACAACAAAAGAAACAAGAAATAGAAATTTTATTAACGTTACATAGATGTAAAAAAAAAAAAGAATAAAATTTCCTGTTGTTTTTTCAATTTGTTAGAGATTACTTACAATGGCCATTTTCTTTAAAAAGCAAGCAGCGAAACAGGCTAATTTTTCATCACCCTCAGCGATGTTTCCATTCTTTGCATTTTCCACGATTGCTTAAAAAAACAAAGAAAATAAAATTGCATTGTATTTTACAGAAGTTAACAAGAAAATGAAGCAATTGATATATGAATTTGCAAAGAAGTTAGTTTCCTTTTAGAAAAGATCAAATATTTTATAATTACCAGCATCTACACCAGTTTCAGCTATACAAGAATCCTTATATTCCTTAAGTTTGGCTTTTTGTTCATCGGTGAGTGCCTAATATTAAACAATATTTTCATAATTTGATTTATGTTATCAAAATTAATCTCACGTTTAGCAATACAGGATGGTTCAAAATAACTTACAATCATTTTCAGAACTTACAACTTTATAAAGTATTATTTGTCTTTTTAAATGTTAAATTAATTGTAATTTTTTAAAATACTACATTGATAAAACTAAACAAATGTATTTCAGAAAGAATATTTGAAAAGGGCCGTCTTATACATTTAATAAAAAGGTCAAAAGGTTTTTTTAACAGTTTGAAAAATATCTGCATACTTCTTCAAGTCATTATTTCAAGTTATTGCATTTTGAATAATCTTATATAAAGAATATAAAAATAATGAAATTATCTTACCAATGCACCAACGAAGAGAGCAATCGTAAAAACAACGATGATTTTCATATTGATAGATGATACTTTTGTCGAGATCGAGGTCTGAAGTTTACTGAACGATCCATGAATCTTCTCTTCTCTTTTTATAGTAAACTGCTCGATCGTAAATTGTATAATCATCAAATGACTGCTGTTGTCTTCTTATAGTCTTTTAATGGGGGGATGTATTTGATTGAAGAAATAAAAAAAAAAGAAAGAAGAAGAAGAAGAAGAAGAGGAAAAAGAAAAAGAAAAAGAAAAAGAAAAAGAAAATCTAATTTTGCTTACATATCCTGTGAATAATCATCGAATATTTTATTCTGACGTATAATTAATTACGTTACGTATTCTTACGTATATATATATAATATATTATATATTATTACTATATATATTACTATTATATTAATTGGTTACGTATTCTTACGTATATATAATATACTTACATCATTTTATTTATTTTCCTAAAATACACACAATAATTTTTATTATTTATTGCTATTTTTGAAAACAAAACAAAAAATACATCATTTTTATAATTAAATTATTAATTTAATAACAAAATTGTTTATTATTTAACAAAATTCACAAAAGAATTTTAATTGATTTCTAACGGTAATGAAAGATAAAAAATACATTATAGATTCATCGAAAGAATAACCGAAGATTTTTTAAGACATTCAAATTAGTTTTTGCATTCATTAAAATAAGAGTTATATGAATTGTGTGTTTAAAACTGGTTTTTACCTTGAAAGTAATTAATCAAAGTCTGAATATGATTAGGGTCTCTTTTAACATTGTTTTCTTTCCAAATTTTTATTCTACAACTGAACAGTTATTATTGTAAATTTTTATTTAATTAATTAATTCATTATTTTAAATAATATCTCTGTAAATTTTATTATATACATTTTTTATTATATAACATTTTCCAAAGTATATTTTTACAATTTGAAAAATATTCTAGAATAATAATGTATTTAATCGGAGCATAATTGCATAAACAATTATTATTATCCATGGACTTTGAAATCAATTTTTGTATGCAATACAATTGTAGAAATTATCTGCTGATATTGCACTTTAGATTTTTCTTTTTAATAGTTTTCGAGGAAAGCATTTAAATGATAATTAAATGGCAAATATATATGTATATATATATATATATATATATTACATATATGAGATACAATCTCATATTTTTTATTTTCTTTTTATCTCTTTGTTTAAATGAATTATGTGTACGTGTGTAAACATATGTGTTATATATGTGAGTAGTATGTTTGTGTGTGTTATTTACTCATATGGTAATATTGCTGGTAATAGTTCACTGGCGCCCTCTATGTCAAATGATAGAAACTATCAATCTTATCGAGGGTTACTTATAGTTTACTTCTATGTTAGGTTATGTTGTCTTATAATAAGATAATATTTGTTATATATGAAACAGTGTAAAAATCAATTAAACAATACGTATTGCATTATAAAGTGAAATTTGATAAAATGCCATCAAGGGCAGAGTGCATAAACATAATGCCATTCCAAGATACTCAATACAATTGGACAGATGATTTACCTGTTTGTAAGCAATCTGGTATGTATTTTAATATTTATATTAAATTACTTTTGTAGCATTTAAATAATATTTCCAATAATATTTTATTTTTATTCTTATCATATTTAAGTATCATTATGTGTGTGAAAAAGATTGATTATCTATTTAATAATACAATGAATATTTATTATACATATCTATTATATTTCAAGTGACATTAAAAATAACATTTGTAATATTTGATCATTTAAAGGTGTCGGATTTTCAACTAATCAAATTTATCGCGAGGATGGATATCGTCAAGAAGAGCATCCATTCGAAGATCGTAGCTTTCATTGCAAATACGATGATACAACTTTTCTCTATGGTGTATTCGATGGTCATGAAGGAACAAAAGCTGCTAATTTTGCGATGCAAAGAATGGCAGCAGAAATTTTACTTGGACAATTAAACGGTAAATTTACCGATGAGGAAATAAAGGAAGTTCTTAGGTAAATATTCTCAATAATAATAATAATAATAATTGGACTAAATATAATTAAATGTAACTTTTTATTCTGTTTTAGACAAGCATTTATATCGGTGGAACGTGGATATTTAGATTCCATAGGTGATTTGTTAGCAGAACGCACAAGTTTACAATTTGATATTCCTGATGGTTTGAATTCCTATGAAACGTATCAAAAATTTCCTCACTTGGTTAGTAATATTATTTTATTCGTTAAAAATATTACTTTTCATATAGATTAATACATGTAAGTAGTTTATTCATAGGTCGACAAATTAAATTCATTAAATTGTGAATTGTCGGCGGGAACAAGTGCAGTTGTTGCACTTGTTTATAGTGGTAGATTATATGTCGCAAATGTTGGAGACAGCAGAGCATTGTTATGTAAAACTGATGACAATCAAGTATTAAGAGTTATTCAGTTAAGTGTCGATCATGATTTACGTAATGAAGATGAACTTCTACGGTTATCTCAACTTGGTTTAGACACAGATTCTATCAGACAAGGTGTGTTCATTATTTAAAAAAGAGAAGACACACGTATGTAAATTATGTATATAGTATAACGAATCTGTTTCAGAATAATTATTAAGAGCTGTCTATGATATTTAAGGTTCTCACCTTGGAAATCAAGAAAATACACGTTGTCTTGGAAATTATCTTGTTAAAGGTGGATATAGAGAATTTGAAGAATTATCATCTGCCAAGGCAGAGCCTATTATAGCAGAACCAGAAATTCATGGTGGAATAGAATTAGATGATTCATGCAGATTTCTATTACTCATGTCTCGTGGACTCTATAAATCATTGGAAGAAGCAACAGGAACCGATCAAGTTAATAAAGAATTAGCTCTTATGGCTGTTGAACAGGTATTTGTTATAATAATTTATATTACATCTTAAAATTTCATTTGTGCGAATATAAAATCTTATATCAATTTTAGTTTCGCGTTCAATCAACTTTAACGGGTGTTGCTCAAGCTGTAGTAGATAAAATAGTAAGAATTCACCATGACGTTAATATGAGTAACTCGCAAAGTACTTTAACAACTAGTAAACGAGACGACATTACACTTCTCGTACGAAATTTCAATTTTCCTCTACCACATGCTTTAAAAAGTCCAACGGGTCAAGCGGTAAGATTCAATCCAATAGTTCAAACAGTACCAATGTGTACATTAACAGACAACGATGATTGTTCTAATACAAGTTCGGTTGCTATGGAAAGTAATTTTGATATATCAACTAGCGAAACATCGACTGCGTCTGATTTAACTTCGTCTAGTGCAAGACCGGCGGATAGAAACGCGAGAATAAAATCTTATGTTAATTTTTCGGAATATTTCGAAAATGTAGAAAAGAGAAAGAAAGAGGGAACATTACCAGAAGGTATTAATTTTTAGTATTGTAATATAAAAGTAGAATCAAAGATATTATTTTAGATATTTAAAATATACTTCAGCTTTGTATATTGCCTGCCATATTTTTGTGTTCATTATTCTATTTCTTTTCATTATAAAATATATCTCATAAAAGAAATGATCGAAAGAATAAAACAGAATTTTCATATATTTATTGTCTAATAATTTACTTATTATTTATTTAGTTGCACATATATAAACTGCATAATGAACAGTCAGTCAAAGTGGTATAATAATTTATTTGACGATGTAATTCATAAAACATTTTTTTTTTTTTTCACAAGTATTTCGTAGGCATAGTTTTCAATCTTTCAAATGCTGCTTTTTCAAGACATTCTCTGTGATCGGGATGTGCTATTTGAATTAAGGCATTAGCTCGTTGTCGTAACGTTTTACCAAATAATTGAGCAATACCATGTTCGGTAACTACATAATGAACGTGCGCTCTTGTAGTAACAACTCCGGCACCTACAATTTATTTATTTATTCTAATAACTATATTTGTTCAGGTAATCTCTATTTTAAATAAAAGAAAATGATTTGAGTATTTTTTTATAGTGTACCAAGTTTTAATACAGCTTGTATTTTGCTTTCTCCTTTGCTCGTGATAGATGGAAATGCTATAATAGATTTTCCTCTACCGTCTTGACCTATTGCAGCACCACGTATAAAATCTAGTTGACCACCAAAACCAGAATACATTTTACAACCCAAACTATCGGAGCATACTTGTCCGGTAAGGTCCATTTCAATGCAAGAATTAATTGCAGTCATTCTTGGCTGCATCGATATAACTCGAGTATCATTAACGTAATTAATTGCTAGCATTTCTATTTGGACAAAACATTGTTCATTTTAAAGATCATATTTCTTATTTAAACAAACAAACAATATGATTGAATATATTTAAGCTTACCAACGAAAGGATTGTTATGTAAAAAATCGTAGAGCCTTTTAGTACCGATTCCTAATGAACAAACTAAACGTCCCCTATGTTTGAGTTTATATTTATTTGTTATAATTCCTCTTTCAACAAGATCTACTATCGTATCACCAATTATTTCCGAATGTACACCGAGATCTTTATGATTAGCCAAAGCACAGAGTACAGCATCAGGAATATTTCCAATACCAAGTTGTAATGTTGCACCATCTTCGACCAATCTTTGTGCTATGAATTTACCAATTTCTAATTCGATCTCATTAGGAGGAGTACTGGCTATACAAGGTAAGGGGCAATCATATTTGACTGCCCAATCTATATGACTGGCATGTATAACGGTGTCACCAAATGTTCTAGGCATGTGTTCATTAACTTGTGCTAAAAACAATGAAAATAATTCAAATGGAGATAATATAAAATAATAATAATAATAATATTTGTTTACTCTACCAACCAATTATAACTTTGGCTGTGCAAATAGCTGCTCGTGTACAATCGACGCTAACACCAAGCGAACAAAATCCACGTGGATCAGGTGCACTGACGTGTATCAAAGCAACATCGGGTACAATTCTTTGCTCATAAAAGAGTTTTGGTGCTTCGTGTAAAAATAATGGAATACAATCTGCTCTACCTTCGTTGACAGCATCTCTAACGTTTGCACCAATGTAAAAACTAATTGATCTAAAATGTTCTGAAGAAATATATGCAATGACATTTATCAAATTGAATTAGGAAATAATAATGATGAATATTTCATGAACTTTTGGTACTTTCAAATTCAGGATTGGCAAAGGGTGCATCTCCCTCCAAACCCATGTGTATTAATCTAACACCACGTAAATTATTACAGACACCATGTTCAGTCATTGCTCTTATTAACTCCAACGGAGTTGCTGCACCTCCTTGTATAAATACTAAATGTTCTGAAACAATATAAGTCCATTGATGCATAATTAGACAGATAGTCAGGACTATTAATTAATTAACGTGACATAATTTATTATAGTTTCATAATATTCAAAATAATAATAATAATAACATAGTTTACCTGAATTTATTATTTTGATAGCATCTTCGACGCAAACCCATCTTGGGCAACGTTTTAAAGGTTGAAATGGTTCCCGTATATACCTCAAACCACATAAATTAAACGGTTTTGCTGGTCGCAATTTGTTAAAAGTTGAATCCAAATTTCGAAACATTTTTCACGATCACGAGATATAAATGAAATATATAAATATATATATATGTTATAAATAATAATGATAGATTAATTATGTCAATAATAAAGATTTCATTAATTTTATACGGCACAATTGATTATGCCCTATAATAACATTTAAATTTAGATAATTCATGCTCTAAAATTCTATCAATGACAGACGTAAATATTCCAAGATTTAAACCGTTGCCATCTCCACGATTGCTATTTGAAAATCGTGTCTAACGATATTTGATTTTTCATATATGATCATAGTAGGCTTATTGTAATATTTCAATAGCAATTTTTAGACCGATTAAACTCGATTTATTTCTTTATTATTATTATTTAAAAAAAAATTATTCTAAATAAAGAAAAAAAATCTTAAATCTTAGATTAAAAAAAAGTAAATGAAATTATATTTTATCGTTAATTTACAAAAATATTCTCTATAATACATTAATATTTCTTTTGAAAGAGAAATATAACAACAACAGCTATAAGTAAAAGAACATTAACATAATCAAATTATTTCCTTTTTGTATTTTTTTTTTTTTTCTTTGTTTCATTTTCTTTTCGAATACAATAAATTTGTCCATTTGTTGTTACAATTAATATATGTAAATAAATATCTAAAAATTGTATATAAAAAATGATTTACATGGAAATTATTTTTCTTATAGTGCTTTTTCATTCAAATGTCTATAATTTAAGTTTTTAGAATTGCTTATTGTATAATTATTGTTTTAAAATTTAGTATTGTCTGTGTAGATATTTTAGAATAATTGTTTTAAAATTTAAACGTTTAAATTCGCTGTTTAGATTTCTTGCCAGCAGCAAGTGTGATATATTTTTTTTAAAGATTTCTGGCACTCGAACGATTAATATATAACAAAAATTCCTAAACAATGTTTGTACGAATCACATTATAATTTAATGTGAATAAAAGCTGTACACTTTTTTTTTCATTTTTAAAACTCTTATAATATTTATCTCTATTCAATAAAAAAATATTAGAAAGAGAAAAAAAAAGGAATCTAGAGACACAATTAATGTTGGTAAATTATACTATAAGTATGCATTTATATATATATATATATATGTATAATTTTCCATGTAAATTGTTGTTTAATTTATGGCGCTGGCATTACTTTTAAACGTTCGAAAGCAGCTTTTTCTAATGCTTCTCTGTGATTAGGATGAGCAATTTTAATTAATTCGTATGCTCTTTGTTGTAGACTTTTGCCAAATAAACATGCAATTCCATGCTCGGTCACGATGTAACGAACAACTGCTCTGTTAGTAACAACGCCAGCACCTGTTAACAAATTGATCAATATTAATCAAATAATAATATGATACTAGTAATTTATTGTTTTATCAAACCAAGGACTTACCTAATTTTAATACTGGCACAATTTTGCTATCACCTTTGCTAGTTAGTGATTGTAAAGCTATGATCGGTTTTCCACAACCATCATCTGACATTGCTGCTCCACTAATGAAATCTAATTGACCACCGAAACCTGAATACATTCTAGTTCCAATACTATCAGAACAAACTTGACCAGTAATATCAACTTCTATGCAAGAATTGATTGCAGTCATTTTAGGTTGTTTAGAAACTATTTTTGGATCGTTAACATAATCTACCATTAACATTTCTGTAAAATCAAACATTTTTATAATGATTATCAAATGATTACATTAAGTAAGTAAGTAGTTAATTAAAAAAATGTTTAAACGTACCTATAAAAGGATTATCGTGCATAAATTTATACAATTCTTCAGTACCGATACAAAATGATCCTACGATACGACCCTTATGCATACTCTTTTGATTATTTGTTATACATCCTTTGTTAACAAGTGCCAAAACACCGTCGCTGAACATTTCACTATGAATACCTAGATCTTTGTGATTAGTTAAATTTGATAGCACTGCATCTGGAATGCTACCAATACCCATTTGCAATGTAGCACCGTCCACAACTAAATTTTCAGCTATATTTTTTCCAATTTGTTCTTCTTCCTTCGAACGTTTAGTCACAGGATGCGTTGGCAATGGGGCATTGTGTTGAACGGCAAAATCTATATGACTGACGTGTATTATTGCATCTCCAAATGTTCTTGGCATATTTTTATTTACTAATGCTGTAAAAAAAAAAAAATTTGAATTTTCAATAACATAGAAAAAGATGAATAAAAGTTAATAAAATTTATTGATAATTTACCTATGATTTGTTTAGAATTACTCATAGCAGACCGTACACAGTCAACGCTAGTTCCAAGAGAACAATAACCATGAGAATCGGGTGGACTGACATGAATTAAAGCAATATCGGGTTTTATATAGCCCCGTTTAAATAACTTTGGAATTTCATGTAGATATATAGGAATACAATCTGCATTACCCTGATTAACTGCCTTCCTTACATTGCCACCAATGAATAAACTCACTGATCTAAAATGCTCTATGTACAAATGAAGTTTTCCTTTAGAGATCATCAATGCGTTACATTAGCTTATACTTTTCTTATTGATGACGATTCACTAATATTTCACAATGAGTTTTTACAGACTTTTTTTTTTTTTGTTTTTTTTTTTTCTTTTAAATACTATATCGTCAAACATAACTCGATTTGAATTTGTTTTATTTTATTTTTTATTTTGTAAAAATAATTATGACCCAGTCAGCTTCATACTTGCGTTCTCTGGTAAAGCAAATGGTGCAGGTCCTTCTAGATGCATGTGATATAAACGTACATTTCTCACGTCACACCGTACTCCATAATCAGTCATTGCTCTCAATAATTCACTTGGTGTAGCTGCTGCTCCTTGAGAAAATACTACTTGTTCTAGAACATATAATAAATATATTTATATATATATATTTATATATTTTTTATTTCATACGTTCAGTTGTTTTTGATATCTTAAAGCAAGTATAAAACTGTAGTGTTCATAAATGTATGTTTACGTATATGTCTACATATATACATAGATATTTACGTATATGTGTCAAGGCTTAATATGCAAATTTATACAGACACAAATAGATACATATGTTCAAATTTCATTCTATCAAATCGATACGAAATATTATTTCAAAATGAGATTATTATTTGTCTCCTAAGCCCCAGATAAAAGGGTGGATTCGAGGGCGAGGCTAGCAACCTACCCTCAATAAAAAACAAATAATTTTACCAACTGTTTAATTAGGAATAACAGGACGAAGTCCTGAGAAGAAGAAGAAGAAAAAGATTCTTCATTGTTCGTGATAAAAAACAAATTGTTGAAAAATTCTATCGGTAGTTAATTGACTTTAACTTAACGTTGATTGAATTATCATTATTTTATTTATATATTTTTAATTAATTTACATAGAATATTATATGAAAATATAATTCGTATCAATATTTTTGTTCACCACTGCAATTTAAATTGGTATGATGATAATAGAGTCTACTTATGTATATATATATATATATATATATCCGGTCAATTGAAAATGATTACCTATTAAAATACTCTAGCGTATTTCTATTTTTTTTCTTATCATTTATTTTAATACAGTAAATAAATTTGTGAATATTTTTGAGTGTCTTCTTTATCTTTTAAACCATAAATAATTTAATATATAAAAAAGTGAATTTTTATGTATAACCGATAATGGAAAATTAAAGAAAAATAACTTAATTGATTAAGAAAAATATTGAAACGATAATATTTTGTGTAATACATCTTATCAATGTTATATACGACTATAATAAATAATATTGGACTTTGTCTCCTGATTAATATTATAATCGAAAAACATTTTCTTTAGAACCTTAACAAAGGAAAACACAATCCATTTGATTTAATTAAGTATAATAATAAATTAAATAATTATTTATGATAATTTATGGTAGAACAAAAAGATGGAAATTAGTGAACATTTTTTTTTATCTACTTTTTCTTTTTAATTAACAAAATTTTATCTCATTTTGAATAATTGAAATATATAATATTATCAAAGAGAAAATAATGAACAATTTTGATACTACAATATGTACATTTGATAAGCCCAAATGAAACAGATGTTTAAACGTAAATAATATTGTAGCTTGTGCAGTGACTACGTTTGTTCTGATCGATATTCTTAAGCATGTAGACATTATTGATTATTCTCCAACTGCATCATATTTCTCCCCAAGTATCAATTAATTTTTCATATAAATTTAATTCAAACGTTTAATCGATTACATTTAAAATAACAAATTGAATATCGATCATTGGGTATTTAAACAGCATGTTGATATATACATCAGTGTTATGGGGTTACTCATACTTTCCATAAATGCAACAATACAAATGATTTAATCCACTAATTATAAATGTTTGCATTCCAATTAAAATATATTAAATATGTGGATAAAAGTAAAAAATATTGTTAAAAAAAAAAAAAAATACCATTAATTAACAAATTACCTGAATCAAGATTGGCTTGCTCAATAGCTTCATCAGCAGTTTTAAGCCAACAAGGTTCCTTTCCTGGTATTGGCATTGACGGTTCATTTACATAGGTAAAATAGTTTTTCTTTATAGCTGGTAGACAAGAAATTCTTGTTGTAGATGTAGTCATAGAAGTTAGGGCTTTTGTCAAACCGGTTAAACGTTTAATTGCTGCCATTGTGTTCAATTCAATTTAGTCTTCGTTAGTTCGACACAATTTATTTTCTAATAATAATCAAAACAATATGTACATATATATTATTATTCTGTATGTTTATAGGCATAAATAATTATTTTTATGAATATATATATATATGTGTGTGTGTGTGTGTACGTGTGTATGCGAACAGATGTCAGTGATTAAAGGCCTGTCAATAAAGAATAACGAAAATCTAACTATTTTAATGTAAAAGAAAGAAGATTATTAAACGAGATAGAACTAGTAAGCTTTGTCACTATGGTTTTATCACGTCACGAAGTTATCTGTCTAATAAGTATAATCGTTTCTTACTCGTTGATATGTATTGTTATAAAAAACTGTTCAAGACCATATCTATCTAGATACTACCATCTCTACTCTCTTCTGCAGTGTATACGTGAACCAGGACCGTATAATCTTGGATTTATCGTATCTATAATTACTAGTACCCTCGGCAAATTTAAAATTTTATCTGAAATACACGACATATCTATTAATTCATTTGATATACACTATTAATTTGAAATAAAAATTAAAGCAACTATGCAATATTCAATATTATTATTTATTTTTACAATTATCGACAAACATTTAATTACAGTTCGAAATCGTTTGAAAATCCCGCCATACCTCGGTCGATAACTTACCTCGCAAACGCATTAAATAATAATGTTATTTATTTCAAACAAATTCTTTCCCATCCCTTAAAAATAAATATACACCTTTTCAAACAATATTAAATAAACAATTTTTACATCGACAGAATTTTCTTCATACCGATAAAAAAGTTTTTTTATCAAAAATTAAAACATACTATGATTTACCTAGTTTGTGACACGTGATCCCACGTGCCTTCTCTTCATCTTTGTCACTCGAAAAATAAAATAACTAATATTTTATTATTTTTATACCTAACTTTCTTTTATCGACTTTAATAACATTAAACTTAAAAAAAGAAATTAATTTTTTTCACGATACAACGTTGACATAGATTAAATCAATTGTAAAAAAATAATAATTTCAAATACCAACGGTACCGTTTCGATCTTACCTATTTTCCCTCCGCTCCCCACTCTTCCCCCTTTCACCTACCCTTCCACTGTCTTTCTTTACATCGACGCAGTAGTATCTTCTGCTACTCAGTGGATTTAACACAGTGTAGGGATATTGTAACCATTTTCGTTGTAAAATAAAAAATGTATTCGAAAAATATTGGCGATCGCCAAGCAACTCAAGAACATGTTTTGGCTGTTTCACGAGATTTCGTATCCCAGCCACGTCTTAGTAAGTAAAATTTATTTGTATAATCAAATTTTATAAAAAAAAAAGTAATCCAAATGAAGAGCATATACCACTTACACTAAACTGGGCGTAGCATTTTAATCGATCCTACGACCAAGTCAGCTGATTTTATATCATTTTATTTATTTATGATTAATTTATATTTACGTTTATCATTTCGTGTGTTTAATAATTGATATAATTTAATTTGATTTTTTGGTGTTTTTTTTTTATAAAAAAATATGTTTTATATCGATCAATTGTGTATTTTCGTAATCGTTCACGCGTCATGTGACTGGATGATTATATGTTGCCCATTAAATTTTAGAATTTTGTTGTATTAATGTCAATAATATTTTTGAGTCTATTCATTTAACTTTATATTTATATAGAATTATGAAAAATATATTTTTATTTAAATTAATTCTATACGAATGACTTAATACATGTTTAACCAAAAGGTTGTCAGATTTAATACAATGATAAGGTAGATTCTATGAAATAAAATGTTTTAAATCTTAACTTGATATTTTTTAATGACAATTATAATTTTTACAGCATACAGAACCGTTTCCGGTGTGAATGGACCATTGGTGATATTGGATGAAGTTAAATTCCCAAAATATGCTGAAATTGTACAATTAAAACTCTCAGATGGATCTTTGCGATCTGGACAAGTTTTGGAAGTTTCTGGTTCCAAGGCAGTGGTTCAAGTATTTGAAGGAACTTCTGGAATAGATGCAAGGAATACTCATTGTGAATTCACTGGTGATATCCTTCGAACACCTGTGTCAGAGGATATGTTGGGTCGTGTATTCAATGGATCTGGAAAACCGATAGACAAGGGTCCAACTATTCTTGCTGAAGATTTCTTAGATATCGATGGACAACCTATTAATCCTTGGTCACGTATTTATCCTGAGGAAATGATACAAACTGGAATTTCAGCTATTGATGTTATGAATTCTATTGCTCGTGGTCAAAAGATTCCAATTTTCTCTGCTGCTGGTCTTCCACATAATGAAGTAATGTTATTTCCTTTTTAAATAATTATAAATATACACATTGTTATTCTATATTTATATTTTAACTTGTTATTTTATATTTGAATAGATTGCTGCACAGATTTGTCGTCAAGCTGGTCTTGTTAAGGTACCAGAAAAATCAGTTTTGGACTCTCACGAGGATAATTTTGCCATAGTATTTGCAGCTATGGGTGTAAATATGGAAACTGCGAGATTCTTTAAGCAAGATTTTGAAGAGAATGGTTCTATGGAAAATGTCTGTCTTTTCTTAAATTTAGCTAACGATCCAACTATAGAAAGAATTATTACACCACGTTTGGCATTGACGACTGCTGAATTCTTAGCTTATCAATGCGAAAAGCACGTCTTAGTTATTCTTACCGATATGTCCTCATACGCAGAAGCTCTTAGAGAAGTATCAGCTGCTCGTGAAGAAGTACCCGGTAGACGTGGTTTCCCTGGTTACATGTACACCGATTTGGCAACCATCTATGAAAGAGCTGGACGAGTCGAAGGACGCAATGGTTCCATTACTCAAATTCCAATTCTTACTATGCCCAACGACGATATTACGCATCCTATTCCTGATTTGACTGGATATATTACCGAAGGACAAATCTACGTCGATCGTCAATTACATAACAGACAAATTTATCCACCTATCAATGTACTTCCATCACTTTCTCGTTTAATGAAATCTGCTATTGGCGAGGGAATGACACGAAAGGATCATTCTGATGTTTCTAATCAACTGGTAAGTCTGTTGATTAAAATTAATATTAATTTTATCAATTCGATCAATTTTATCGATACTAAATTTCTTACCTTTTATATAAATAAATCATTATATTTCAGTATGCGTGTTATGCTATCGGTAAAGACGTGCAAGCTATGAAAGCTGTTGTAGGAGAGGAAGCTTTAACACCTGACGATTTACTATATTTGGAATTCTTAACTAAATTTGAGAAGAACTTTATTTCTCAAGGAGGATATGAAAATCGTACGGTCTTTGAATCGTTGGATATTGGTTGGCAATTACTTCGTATTTTCCCTAAAGAAATGCTTAAGAGAATCCCGACCAGTACTCTTGCTGAATTTTATCCGAGAGATTCTCGTCATTAATGTATTATTAAACTTATATGATTTTCAAAAAAAAAAAAAAATCTCGTAATGAGTGACTGCTCTAAAACAGTAGGAAGAAAAGATAGATATATATATATATATATATATTTGCTGATCACAAAGTCAAAACTTTGCAATGCGTTATTGAAAATAATTTATTCTGTTACATAAAAACAAAAAGAAAGAGAAAAAATGCTTTTGAATGAAATATATTCTAATATTATAATAGAAAATCTAATATAACTTTGGAAATGTTAACACATCAATTATTAGAGCGGCGCATTCAAATTATATTTATCAATAGAAACATATACTTTATATAAGATCAAGAAAATAAAACTATGTTGATATATAGAAAGAAGAAAATAAAAAGAAAAATGTTATTTTGTTTTAGATCGTTCATTTTTTCATTCGCAGGAAATTTTTAATTGTAAAGTGTAATATATATATATATAATATTCAATATTGATATACACGTATATATAGTGCTACAGAAGAATGTATCTTTAAACATACTTTGAAAATGTATGCACTTTGTATTATAATAAGAACATTTTGAAATGCCGCTTTTTGTCCATTCCAAAAACGAAAGCTTACATATAACAAGAAAAAAAAAACAAAATAAATAATACCTATGTACAGGTAATTAATTCTACAATGTTATGTAAAATATTCTATTGTATTGTTCATAAATGTATAGTGAAGAATAGAAGAAGACTAAGGAAATGTCTTGAAATGTTTTACTCTTAACGTTTTTGTTTTCTTTTTTTCCAAATTTAAGTACGGAATATTAACAAAAATATATTTTCTTTTAAAAAAGGATAAGGAACATTTTATTTATATATCGTATTAAATGTGTATTTAACAAAATATTTTTGATTTATCCATATATATATATATATATATATA